TCCTCCACTGTCCTCCCGTGTCCTGCGGTCCCGTCTGGCACCCTGTCAGGTCTTTACCTCCCCTCGTTCTCTACGAACTTGGTGGCGGGCTCTGCTCTACAGGACGGGGGTGTTCACCAGTTCACCCCTGCCTACGAGCGTGTGACCCACTGTACGTGTGCCCGGACGGGTCGCCACCTTGCTACCTTCACTAGGGAGCCGGGGTCGGACTTGTACACACTGACCACTACGTCCCCTCAGGTAGCTGCGTCTGTGTCTGCGTCAGGTCAGCTGTCGGCCCCCTAGTTGTGTCGCTCCCTGTCCCACCAGACTGTCCTCTGGCACCACCGCCTTGGTCACCCGTCAGTGCAGCGCCTTCGTGGCATGCACCGTCGCCTCCTTGTCTCTGGTCTTCCCAGGGTTCTCCCTCCCCTCCCGCCCTCGCCTGCTCCTCCCTGTCTTCCCTGTGTCAAGGGGCGGCAGCGCGCCGCTCCTCATTCCTCTAAGTTTCCCCCGACGGAGGCTCCTCTGCAGACACTCCACATGGACGTGTGGGGCCCCGCCCGCGTCCGTGGACAGGGCGGGGAGCGCTACTTTCTGCTGGTAGTTGACGACTACACGCGTTTTCCACTGTCTTCCCCTTGCGCACCAAGGGTGAAGTCCCTGATGTCTTGATCCCTTGGATCCGCGCTACCCGTCTCCAGCTGGAGAGGCGCTTTCGCTCGGACCTTCCAGTCCTGCGACTGCACTCTGACAGAGGTGGTGAGTTTTCCTCCGACCTCTTGAGAGCCTTCTGTCAGGGGGAGGGCATTGAGCAGACGTTCACGCTTCCGGCCTCTCCGCAGCATAATGGGGTTGCTGAGCGCCGCATTGGCCTGGTCATGGAGGTCGCTCGTACCTCCTTGGTCCATGCGGCTGCCCCCCACTTTCTGTGGCCGTTTGCGGTCCGGTACGCCGCGCATCAGCTCAACCTCTGGCCCCGTGTCTCTGACCCGGACACCTCGCCGACACTGCGTTGGACGGGAGAGGTTGGCGATGCGTCGGTGTTCCGAGTCTGGGGATCTCGTGCCTTTGTCCGCGATGCGTCCGCGGACAAGCTCTCCTCCTGTACCCTCCCTTGTATCTTCCTTGGTTTCGTCCCTGACGCGTCTGGCTGGCAGTTTTACCACCCTGCCTCGCGCCGTGTCTTCCCCTCTCAGGACGTCACCTTTGACGAGTCGGTCCCCTTTTACCGTCTCTTCCCCTACCGCACTGCCCCGCTCCCCCCCCCGCCGCTCTTCCTCACCCCAGGTGCTGCTTTGGTAGACCCCCTGCCTCCCCAGGGTCCTGCTCCCTCAGGTGTTTCCCAGGTAGACCCGGTCGAGCCTGTCGAGGTAGCTGTCGACTCTGGTCCTGCGCGAGGTGCTGAGCGTGCTGAGCGTGCTGAGCCTGGTGGTGCTGGGTCTGGGGGTACTGAGACTGGGGGTGCTGAGCCTGGGGGTGCGGAGCCTGGGGGTGCTGAGTCTGGGGGTGCTGAGCCTGGGGGTGCTGACACTGGGGGTATTGAGCCTGGAGGTGCTGACACTGGAGGTGCTGAGCTTAGAGGGACTGTGACTGGGGGTGCTGTGCCTGGGGTTACTGAGCCTAGGGGTGCTGCGTCTGATCGTACTGCGCCTGGAGGCGCTCTCTCTTCCTCGGAGCTGCGTGAGTGGTACTCTTGGTTCTGCCGCCGCCGCAGTGGTGCTGTGGGAGCTGAGGGCGCTGGAGCTACTGGTGCTGGTGTGGCTGCCGACCCTGGGGTTGGCGCTGGTGGTGCTGGAGCTGTTGAGCCTGGCGGTGCTGCTGGAGCTACTGGAGGAGCGAGTGCTGCTGGAGCTGGAGGTGCAGGTGCTGACGGTGCTGCTAGAGCTGGTGCTGAGTCTGGGGGTGTTGCTGCTGGAGACACTGCGACTGGAGACCCTTGGGCTGCAGGTGCCGGCTCTTGGGGTGCTCCTGCTGGTGACGCTGGTCCTGGAGGTACTGGAGCTGTTGGAGGTGCTGGAGCTGCTGGTGCTGGTGGCACTACGCAGCCACGCCTGTTCTTCGCTCCGCCGTCTCCGTCGTCTCTGCCACCGTCTGACTCTGCTCTTCGTCAGGTTCTTACCCTTCCGTCGTCTACTGGTCTTCCGTTACAGCCTGGCTCACCGCTGCCTGCCCCTTCTCCTTACACTGAGCAGACAGGAGGTCTTGCTGAGCGTCGTGAGCCTGAGTCTCGCCCTGCGTCGCCTGTTCGCACTGCTCGCACTGGTCGTCGTGTCCCGCGTCCGCGTCCTCCTCCTGTCCCTGGCACGCACCAGATGGCACTTCGTCCGTCCACTGCTCCACAGCGTGTTCCCCTGCCGTCCCCTCCTGCGTCTTCTCTGCCTGACGTTCCAGACCCTGAGTCTGACCGTGTACGTGCTGCTCACCCTACTGTCACGCGTCTCCTGGCCACTGTTGTCACTGACCCTTCCTTTGAGTCCGCTGCTGCGTCTGCCCTAGTTGCTGAGCTTGTCGACTTTGCTGCTCACTGTCGTCTAGACTACGCCGCGAGTCTTGTTGCTGAGTCTGAGTCTGTCTGTCCTCCGTCTGTCGGGGGTGAGTGTGCTCTTGGCACGGACGTCCTTGAGGACAGGCAGGAGGAGTTTGAGTGCTTTGCCGCTGCTGTACCTCATCTCGTGTCCATGCTGATTGCACCTGAGGGAGACCCGTGTGCACCAGACATCCCGACCCCGTGCTCTTACGCTGAGGCGATCGCGGGTGAGTACTCCTCTCAGTGGCAGACAGCCATGGACGCAGAGATGGCTTCCTGGAAGTCCACTGGCACTTACGTCGACGAGGTTCCCCCTCCTGGGGCGAACATCGTCAGTGGTATGTGGATTTTCAGGGTGAAGCGGCCGCCAGGTTCTCCGCCTGTCTTCAAGGCTCGTTACGTTGCTCGAGGCTTCAGTCAGCGAGAGGGAGTAGACTTCTTCCAGACCTTCTCCCCCACCCCGAAGATGACCACTCTTCGGGTGCTGCTACACGTTGCCGCTCAGCGTGACTACGAGCTTCACTCTCTTGACTTCAGCACAGCTTTCTTGCAGGGTAGCCTGCACGAGGAGATCTGGCTGCGCCGCCCCCCGGGCTTCACTGGGTCGTTCCCTCCTGGTACCCAGTGGAGCCTCCGGCGGCCGGTCTACGGTCTCCGCCAGGCGCCACGTGAGTGGCACGACACACTGAGGACTACGCTTGCGGCTCTTGGGTTTGCGCCTTCTACTGCTGACCCGTCGCTGTTTCTGCGCACCGACACTTCGCTGCCGCCGTTCTACATCCTCGTGTACGTCGACGACTTGGTGTTTGCCACTGCTGACACTGAGGCTCTCGCCCACGTGAAGTCGGAGCTGCAGAAGAGACACACGTGCACTGACTTGGGTGAGCTGCGCAGCTACCTTGGCTTGCAGATCACCCAGGACAGAGCACGCCGCACCATCACCCTGACTCAATCACACATGGTGCAGCAGGTCCTTCAGCGCTTCGGCTTCACCTGGTCCTCAGCACAGGCCACTCCTCTGGCTACAGGTCACTCGCTCTCAGCTCCACCTTCGGATGAGTCCGTAGAGCCGAGTGGTCCTTACCCAGAGCTAGTGGGCTGCCTCATGTACCTGATGACTTGCACTCGTCCTGACCTCGCGTACCCTCTTGGTCTTCTGGCTCGCTACGTGGCTCCTGGTAGGCACCGACCAGAGCACATGGCTGCTGCTAAGAGGGTACTGCGCTACTTGTGCAGCACATCAGGCATGGGGCTAGTGCTTGGAGGGACGAGCCCAGTTGTTCTCACTGGGCACTCAGACGCTTCTTGGGTTGACGACCAGGCTACTCAGCGGTCGTCACAGGGTTACACCTTCAGCCTTGGCTCTGGTTCAGTTTCGTGGCGTTCTACACGCTCGTCTTCAGTTCTCAGCTCCAGTTGTGAGGCTGAGATCTACGCCACAGCCATGGCTGCACAGGAGTTGCGCTGGCTCACCTACCTGCTGACTGACTTGGGAGAGCAGCCTCGTTCTCCTCCAGTGCTGTACGTCGACAACAAGGCCGCCATTGCCTTGTGTGAGGAGCACAGACTGGAGCACAGAACGAAGCACATTGCTCTGCGTTACTTCCTGGCTCGAGAGTTGCAGCAGCGTGGTCAGCTTCGTCTGCGGCACGTGGCCACTCGGGCCAACACTGCTGATATATTCACCAAGGCTCTTCAGCCTGGTGATCATCAGCGTTTCTGCACTATGCTAGGGCTTGTGCCCACTTTTCCTCACTTGCTGTAGGCCTTGCTTGTACTGTGATCTATATATATTTACCTGCATGCTTGCATTGCTAGGTAGAGATCACTGTAATGTTTGTGTTGCTTATATACCTCTGCATGTGAACTGGTCTTGTGGCCCTTTGCTTGTGCTCAGAGTGTGTGGTGACTTTGTGATCCACCCTGAGCTTGCTTTGCCTTTCTTGACTGGTCTTGTGACCACTTGTTCTCCCCCACTTTGCCTATGGGGGTGTGTCAAATGTTATATCTGTTGTAGTTTGTTTAGGCTGCAGTGGGGTAGTTACTATGGGGTACAGTAAGTTTAGGGTTTCATACTTGTACCCAACCCTCTTGCTTGTTCATTCTGACATACAATGCTAGGGTTAGGTTTATGTACCCCAACCAACCTTCGTCAAATAGACACTTTCATTCTTGACATATACATATTAAAAAAAACCATGTAATAAGATACATACAGGTCTTAATAAGTGATATTTGTGAAGATTCTCCCACCCCTCTCCCCCCCACATGTTTCTTGTGCGATTCTGACGCTAGGGTCTTCTTTCTGGGGTTTTACAAGAAAGATATCACCAAGTGTCAAACATCACAACATGTACATGTACCGTAACTGGTCAGGAAACTGCCTAGCAGCGCATGTTTGATGAGATCACTGTGCCTCTCATCAGTCATAATTGAGTCGGTGCCGGTTGGCGCCTTCAAATCACTGATATAATGTAGAACTTTTATATCATTAAAACATGTACATGTAACTTGTCAAGAAACTGCCTAGCAATGCGTCTTTGACCAAGTCACTGCGCGTCTCGTCAGTCATGATGGAGTTGAGCCACCGGTGCCGGATGGCGCGCCCCGAGTGCCCCGTCAGCTCACGAAAGGGCACGACTGCCACGTCAGCAGCGTGCTGCGGCATGGCGAGCAGCACGTTGAGCCTCGGCTGCTCCCAGTTGCGCCTCCACAGGTACTGCCTCGCCGGCTCCTCGTGCCAGTTCGCCAGCAGCTGTGAGGGGGGTGGGAGGAGAGGAGGGGTTGGGAAACAGGAGGCAGGAAGTGGGTGAGGATAAGTGGAGGGTGATGGCCAGTGGCAGGCTCAAAGGGTTGTGTTCCCTTGAGTAAGATGGAATGTGCGGCAAGCCGAGCAGCATTTGAGCCTCGGCTGCTCCCAGTACTGCCTCGCCGGCTCCTCGTGCCAGCTCGCCAGCAGCTGTGGCGGGTGGGAGAGGGAATGGATGGAGATGAGTGGGGGGACAGGGGCAGGGGAGAAGAGGAGGAGCGGGGGAGGGGGGGAGAGGAGAGGGAGAGGTGGGACGAGGTACTGCCAGCTGGCTCAGCGTGCCAGCTGGCAAGCAGCTGTGATAGGGGCAGGATACCAGGGGGTGGGGGAGGGGAGGGAGGGGGAGATGAGTGAGTGAGAGGATAAGGGGAGGGTGGGGGTCTGGCAGGCTCTAAGTGAGGCGGAATGTGCAGACCCAGGGGCAGTAGCAGCAGGGAGCAGCAGGCGGCACCTTGAGGCAGTGGGGGGAGGGGCACCACATCGTGATACCTGGCGTTGGCACAATCCATGCTGCCGTTGAACAGCGCCCCCCTTCCCCCCCTCTCCGTCTCCATGTGTTGAGACGTCTCAAACTTCACCTTGAGGCAGTGCGGGGAGCGGCGCCACAGAGTGACCCCCACGTTGACATGCTCCACGCTGCCGTGGAACAGCCTCTCCTCCCCCCCTCTCTCCACGTTTTGCAACATCTCACCTTGAGGCAGTGCAGTGGGGGGAGCACCTCCATGCTCCATGCGCCTCCAGAGCGTGACCCCCGGCAGTGACATACCCCATGCTGCTGTTGAACAGCGCTCCCGCCCGCCTCCCCTCCCCCCCGCATTCCATTCCACGTGTTGAGATGTCTCAAACCTCACCTTGAGGCGGAGCAGTGGGGGGAGCGCCTCCAAAGTGTGACCCCGGCATTCACATACTCCCTGCTGCCGTTGAACAGCGCCCCCGCACCCCCCTCCCCCCCCCTCTCCTCCACCCCCCTGTCTCCACGTTTTGAGACATCTCAGGTCTCACCTTGAGAGAAACACTCACATCTAAACACTCACCTTGAGAGAAACACTCACATCTAAACACTCACCTTGAGAGAAACACTCGCATCTAAACACTCACCTTGAGAGAAACACTCACATCTAAGCACTCACCTTGAGGCAGTGGGGGGAGCGGCGCCACAATGTGACCCCCGCGTTGACATACTCCATGCTGCCGTTGAACAGCGCGCCCGCCTGCCTCCACTCTGCGTCATCCGAGACGCCTCAAGTCTCACCTTGAGGCAGTGGGGGGAGCGCCTCCAGAGCGTGACCCCCGCATTCACATATTCCGTGCTGCCGTTGAACAGCGCGCCCGCCTGCCCCTCCGCCATCCCCGACGCCTCATCGTCGTTGCGAGGCGCCACCACACACACCGCTGCTCGGCTCTCCCCCTCCCCTCCTGTTACCCATCCCTCATGCTCCCCCTCTCCTGCCCCGCCCTCTCCCCCACCCTGCCCGCCCCCCACGGGTGACGGGGGGCAGGCGGGAGGTGAGTGCGAGAAGATGGAGGAGGGGGGTCGCGGGAACCAGGTCTGGTTGGCCAGCGACACGTTGTACTCACGGGCTATCCAGTCAAAGTAGTGCTGGGGGAGGGGGAGGGGGGGAGAGGGGGGGGGAGTTGGAGGAGGGGGAGAAGAGGTGACAGAGTGGAGGGGAAAGTGGGAGAAGTGGGAGAAGTGGTGGGAGAAAGAATGGCGAAGCACCTGAATGGAAGATGAAGTAGCTCTGGTAGAGCGTGAGAAGAGTCGGCCCTCCCAGGTGTCACGGGTAGAATGAAGCGGTCCCCTCATGAGTGCATATAGAGGCGTATGAAGGACACGTGTCTCCCCTTCACCCATCCAGCCATGCACCCATCCAGCCATGCAGCACGAGAAGGGTGAGGTGGTCGACCCAGCAGTGCACAGAGAGGCAGTGGTTGACCATGCGGAGAATGTTTGAAGCATCAAAGTGAGAGACGGAAAGAGACTGATGGAGAAAAGCATGGCAAGGAGAGCTGGAGGGCAGTGTAGGATGGTGTGCCTCCCAGTTGGTGGTACAGGAAGAGTGAGTGAGATGGTCCACCCAGCTTCGCACGGAAAGGTGGTGGTTGGTCATGCGGAAGGAGGCGTGATTCGAGGAAGGAGGCGTGATTCGAGGAAGGAGGCGTGTGAGTCGTCCTCACTCACCTCCTTCCGCATGGCCTCCGAAAGGAGGCGTGTGAGTCGGGGAAGGAGGCGTGTGAGTCGGGGAAGGAGGCGTGTGAGTCGAGGAAGGAGGCATGTGAGTCGAGGAAGGAGGCGTGTGAGTCGAGGAAGGAGGCATGTAAGTCGAGGAAGGAGGCGTGTGAGTCGGGGAAGGCAAGCGCCTGACTGATGCACGCCTGAGGTGGCAGGCCTTACCCGGAGAGTGAGGCGGTCCACCCAGCTTTTGATTGACAAGCGGTGGTTGTGCATGCCGAAATAGGCGTGTGAGTGGAGGAAGGCAAGGGAGTGAGTGATGCACATGGACTTACGGGAAGAGTGAGTCGATCCACCCAGCTTTGGACAGACAGGCAGTGGTTGTGCATGCGGAAGTAGGCGTCTGAGTCAGAGAAGGCAAGGGAGTGAGTGATGCACGCACGAGGTGGCAGGCCTTACAGGCAGAGTGAGGCGGTCGACCCAGGAGTGCACGCTGAGGCGGTGGTTGTCCATTCGGAAGTATGCGTCTGAGTCGAGGAAGAACGCCCACTCGCAGCAGCAGGACAGCTGCCGCTGCAGGAAGCGCACCTGGGCAGAGAAGCCCAGTCGGGGAGCGGGGAGGGGGAGACGGGGAGACGGGGAGACGGGGAGACGGGGAGTGGGGACGAGGGGATAAGCCCAGTCGGACAATACTTGCAGCAGCATGGCAGCTACCGTGCAGGGAAGACAGCAGGAGGTGGAGAACAAGTTGGGCTGGCCAGACCTGCAGAAAGAGCCGCGTGGGGCGGCGGGGGATGGTGGCGGGGGATGGTGGCGGGGGATGGTGGCGGGGGATGGTGGCGGGGGATGGTGGCGGGGGATGGTGGCGGGGGATGGTGGCGGGGGATGGCGGCGGGGGATGGTGGCGGAACCCAACATGCGAGGACTCGGTTTTTGAGATGCCATGTGACGATAGAAAAACAAACAAACAAACAAACAAACAAAAAAAATCATCACATCACTGTGCTGTGCATAAAAGACGAGGCACCTTGAACCAGGAGGGGTGTCTGCCTGGCTCCTTATCTGCCTCGCCCATCTCCACAAAGCGGTACCCATGGCGCTGTGCATACGCCCTGTGGGTGGGGCAGCGTGGAGGAGAGGGGGGGGGGAGAACAAAGGGTGCAGCGTGTGATGCGGTGCCTTCCCCCTCATTGAGATGCGGATGGCGGTGGGGCTCCTTGTCCTGCTCGCCTCGCCCATCTCCACAAAGCGGTACCCGTGGCGCCGAGCATACGCCCTGTGGGGCATGCGCAGACGGGGGGTTGGGAGGAGGGGAAAGAACGGAGCAGGGAGTGAAGAGGGAGTGCAGGGTGATGCTGAGGGCGTGGAGCAAGAGAGCTGGTGGCTGCCAGGGCGAGTGCACCGTTGCACACTGCCTCAATGAGGAGGGCGCACGAGGAGAATAATAAACAACTGGTTTCCCCCGCTTGATTCACACCCCCCCTGTTCACTCCAAACTCCCTCCGCTGCTCAACACCCCCGTTGCCCCCTTTGCTGACTCGTTCACTCCCTGTTTTGACTCACTCCCTGTTGACTCACTCCCTGCTCACTCGTGCCCCACCGGTTGATGAGCTTGGTGGCAAGCCAGTAGGGGAACTCGCGTCCATGCGCTTCACACTCATCGCTTCATTCACTTCCCCACCTGCTGCTGACTCAAGACCCCCCTGCTGACTCAACATCTCCCCTGCTGCTCAACTCATCACTCCCCCTGCTGACCGGTTGATGAGCTTTGTGGCGAGCCAGTAGGGGAACTCGCGCCCATGCGCTTCAAACGAGTCACTGCCAGCAGCTCTTAACGAGGATGCAGAGAGGCGGCGGTCGTCAGCGTACAGGACGCACCCTGGCAAGCCCCTCTCCAGGCGCTGCCTCTGCGGCTCCGCTGTGAGGGGTGAGTGGGGTGAATGCATGGGTTGAGGTGTAGAATGGATGGTGGACGGGGAATGAACCAATGGGATGAGTGCGACACATGATGCACATGCATGGCCTGGGGGGATTAAGGATACACAATTGGAAGGGGAAGGGGGAAGGCGGAGGAGGAGGGGGAGGGGGAGGGGGAGGGGGAGGGGAAGGGGATGAGGAATGGGATGGGGAGGGGGAATATGATGGGGAGGGGGAAGGGGAAAGGGTGAGGGAAAGGGGCAGGGGGACGGGAAAGGGAAGAGGATGAGGAGTGGGATGGGGAGGGGGAAAGGGTAGGGATGAGGGCGAGGGGATACAAGGTGGAGGGGAATGAGTGGATGAGAAATATAGAAAGAGGATTCGCAAGGGGAACAGGAAGGTGAGGGGCTAGCACGAGCGCGACTCAAGGCACGAGCGCCTAAACACCAGGCTAGCAGCACGGCACACAGGCTCACACTTGAGTCGTCTGAACGCGGCGAGCAGGGGGCAGGGGGCAGGGGGAAGGGGACAGGGGGCAGGGGGCAGGGGGGAGGGGACAGGGGGCAGGGGGCAGGGGGCAGGGGGAAGGGGACAGGGGGAGGGGGCAGGGGGCAGGGGGAAGGGGACAGGGGGCAGGGGGCAGGGGGGAGGGGACAGGGGGCAGGGGGCAGGGGGCAGGGGGAAGGGGACAGGGGGAGGGGGCAGGGGGCAGGGGGAAGGGGGCAGGGGGCAGGAGGCTCACACTTGAGTCGTCGGAGTGCGGCGAGCAGCATGGTGGTGGCGGCATCGGCGCTCTGCTCCTGCGCCTCCTCCCACCGCCCCACCTCCTCCTGCCCCATTGCATGGCGTGGCGGGCGGGTGCATGGGAGAGGCGGGGAGGGGGAATGAGATGCGTGGCACGGGGAGCAGACAGGGTAGTGGCAGCGAAGAGAAGTGAGCAAGAGACGAGGGCGGGTGTCAAGTGCACAAGGCAGGGCGGGGTGTCTCATCCCAATGGCGGGCGTGGGAGGTGGAGGAAAGAGCGAGTAGGGTGGTGAGGAGTACAGGGCGGGTGGACAGGGGAGGTGCAGGAATGAGGGCGGGCGGACCACTGTAACACCTCGCTACCCACTGGGTCAAAACGAGGGTTATATTTGAGGCGCAGCGGAGGCACTCAACCCTTACGTGTAAGCCCCACAGGCGTTACAACGACAGAGCGCGAGACATGCCTAAAGAGGGACTCTTACGGAGGGGCGGGGGGGGAGGAAGCGGATTAGCGCGGAGAGCAGCGCGAGCAGGGCGAGCAGCGGCAGCGCGGAGTCGAGGAATCCGCGCAGGAACGCCGCCACGCCGCGCATGGCGGCGCTGCGGTGGGTGGTGCCGGCTGCCAGCAGCGCGGAAGGCGGAGCGGCGGGGAGGGAAGTTGGCGGAGGGGTTAAGTGCGGAGCTCCAGCGGAACAAAGCGCGCAGCGGGGGAGACAAGAGGGGGGATAAGCGCAAGGGGGAGACGAGAGGCGGGAAGAACGGGAGAGTGATGTCGCAGTGGAGGAGCCGCAGAGGAACCGACGAGCGATACGATTCTCTTTGAAATCCTTTCACGGGAAAGTCGCCGATGCTGCCTCGCCCCAATTCCACTAGAGAATCTGGTCGCCGTCGGGCGATCGCTTAGAACGAAGTTAAAGCCCCTTCTGTCGAGGCAGAGTTAGATACAGGTGGTTACCGTGCGGTGGCGGATCGACATTTGGCTTCGACCCTCAATCTTGCCTTCCTGAACAGCCCTGGAGCCGTGGCACACTGGATGACATGCTGGTTGGTTCGCACACTGGTCGAAACAAGCGACGCCGGGTTTTGATTCTTGAAACCAGAAACGAAACCTGGGAGAACACCCTACTGAGACAAAAATGTATTCCACGCAGAACAGGCGATCGGCATCGTACCGCGAAGTTCGACTCACTAGTGGCGACAAGTTTCCTTCTGCCGCTATCGCGGCTGCTTTGGTTGCGAAGTGGGATGATTTCGTTTCGCGCGGTTACTGATCACCAACTCGCAAGCGATCATAAATGCACCGACCTTTCTCAGCACCACAAGCCCAGTTCGATAGCTCCCTGGGGCCACCACGACGCAACCATTTGGTTTGGCTCTGTCGCCCAAATGGTTGAGGGTTACGACAAATTGCAAGTGGTAGGACAGCGCCGGCAGTGTAATAGTTATGGCCGACCAAAAGGACGGCCTAGGTGGTCGAAAAGCTCCACCTCAACGGTCCTTCGAAGCGGACTGTTCCCAGCCGCGGGTCTGCCCGGGGGCTCGACGGTCTGCGTAAAAAAATGTTCGCAACCCAAATGTTTGAGCTGAAAATATATAGCGTATTTCAAATCGGTTCCACAACTATTTAGCTGTGTCGAAAGGATTATTTGTGCAACTGGTTTGTACCTTTTGTTTGGCGGGCCTATCCCTAAATAGCCCATTGGTCTGGCATTGGGGCCACTCATTTGAAAAGTAAGATTGGCAATGGTCTGAAATTTTACCAGGGAGTGGCTGTAATCATTAGGCTGAAGTCACTGTTTTTGCGCGCTGTGGTGTCAAACCACACCGTCAAAATTCCCGCCATGTTTTAGCGGCTGGGCGGGAAACCAGGGACATCGCAGGGGAGTCGTCCGCGCTGGCGGGAAATATATTTGTCGCAAGGGGTCGCAAACAGTTTCCCGCCCAACAAACAAGGTCACCTCAAAGCGTTTCTGGCGGGGTCACCCTCGCTATCGAACTGGGCCAAAGCACACCTCTGTCATCCAAAACCCGCTTTTCTTTTCGGCGAAGCACTCATTTGCTGCTCTGCTTCCTTGCTCCCCCCCTCGCCTCTAACCGCAAGCCTTGCTCTGAGCAACCTCAGATAAATTCTGGCTGGAGCCTGCTTCACCTCTACCAGCATTCGAGTTTCCTTCAATATTTACGGGCAATTCAAACAACCCTCCTTTCCGGTGCGACTTCCGCCCTCCAACAGCCTCGGCGCGCGTCGCAATCTCTCTGCTCGTCGTCCCACTCGCAAGTTCTCGCTCGTTCTCACGGCGCGATTGCGAATCGCTTCTGCAGAGCTCGTTAGGCAACGCATCGTGCGCGCCCCGGTTGCATGCCGGACCGCGACGGCCAGCAATGGCGATGCTAGGTAAGGCGAGCCCGGCAGAGGGAGTGAGCGCTTCCCCCAGGTCTTCCCCCGGGCCTTCCGCCGTCCTTCCGCCTTCGGCCACTCCGTCGGTCCTTCCGCCATCGATCGTTCCGCAGTACGAGCGACTGTTTTTTGCGTCGAGGGCTTTAGGTGAGGATGAGGGGACAGCGCGGGTTTTAGGCGGAACGGAAGGGACGCCGCGGGTTTCAGCCGGAGCGGACGGGGCAGCGCGGGTTTTAGACGGAACTGAGGGGGCAGCGCGGGTTCTAGGCGGAGCGGACGTGACAGCGCGGGGTTTAGGCGGGCGGGAAGGGACAACAAGGGGTTTAGCGGGCGACGAGAGCGATCAGCCTGTAGTGCAGAACGAAGCCGCCCTGTCTCGCGCTGATGCTGATCGGAACGCCACAGTCAGTGAACGCGCTGCGGTCAACGAGCGCGCTACAGACAATGAACGCGACACAGCCAACCTGGGCGCTACAGGCGATCGGGCTGCTACAGTCACTCACGACGGCGATAATCTAGCAGGAAAGGAAGCTACATTAATGCACAGCGATACTGCTGCAGCGAAAGGAGCAGATAGTAGTCGTGAAGATGCTGCAACCGGGGATGCTATTGTCGAAGGTGAGTCTGCCGTGACGCACGTTGTAACGGAGGCGCGTGGAGATGCTCGTATTGTAGCGAGAATGCCACTAACGAGTCCGATTATTGACTTGACGCTAGAGGAGAGCGACACGATGTCTGACGTGTCGCACGCACGGGCTGACGTTAGCGCCGCCAGAGCTGACGTGGAGAACACTGGGGCTAACGTAAGCGATACAAGGACGGACGTGGAGGAGTCTCGAGCAGGCATGGACATGGAAAGTACAAGGGCTGCTGACGTGGAACAGGCAACGGCTGACGTGGAAACGACAAGGGCCGGCGTGGAACAGTCAGTGGTCGATGTTGAAGCGGAGAGAGACAAGGTGGAGGAGGCAAGGCAAGACGGACCGGCCAGAGGGGACGGGGATGGGGTGAGTGATGCAGGGGCATGCGATGGGGGTGAAAGGCGAGCAGGCGGGGCGACTGCAGGCGGTGAAATAGCAGTGGGGGCTACAGGTTCCGGGGAGGGGGAGGGGGAGAGGGGAGCGGAAGGGGCGGAGAGGAGTGGCAAGGGGAGGAGGAAGAAAGGACGCCGAGAGAGGAGAGGAGACGAGGAAGGGACGACGACAGTGGCAGGCGAGGGGCAGGCGGAGGCGACAGAGGGCGGGCAGAATGAAAACCAGGAGGACGGGCAGCTGAAGAAAAAGAAACGGAAGAAGAAGGTGAAAGACAAGGGAGGAGAAGGAGCAGAGGGAGCAACAGGTGATGGAGCAGCAGCGAGGGGGCAGCAGGGCGACCGGTCGCATCCCCAAGGGAAGGCCCAACAGAATGCCCAACAGAAGGCCCAACAGAATGCCCAGTCAGCGGCTCAACGGAAGTCGGAAGCAGCATGCGAGGCAGGGGGCGATGCAGCGGGGGAGGCGGGCGGGGAGAGCGTGGAGATGCGGCGGCTGCTGCGGCTGCCACGGTACTTCACACCCGCGGAGGGGCAGCACCAGTGCTACCTCTGCGGCCTCGTGCTTGCAGGGCCCCTCCCCCACAACTGCCAGGGAGGGCAGCCGGGGGAGGAGGGTGAAGGGGGGACTGGGGGGAGGGCGGGGGAAGGCGAGGGCGAGGGGCGGGTGTGCTGCGTGTGTGGGGCGGTGGGGCATTCGGAGCGGCGGTGTCCTGAGAGGGTGATGTGTGTGCGCTGTGGGCAGCCGGGGCATGTGGTGAGGCACTGCCCCTCCCGCACGTGGACCCGGGCGCAGGGGGGGGCTGGTGCAGGGCGCAAGGGCGCTCCTGGCGCTGCTGGTGGGGGAGTTGGGGGTACTGTTGCTGCTGCAGGCGACGGTGATGCTGCTCCTGGTGCTCTTGGTGGCAGTGCTGTTGCTGCTGCGGCGGGAGAGAAGGGTATGGAGGTTGAGGGAGGGGGGAAGGGAGAGGGCGAGGGGGCGCAGAGGGCAGGGGGGGAAGGGGGGACAGCGGAGTGCATGCGGTGTGGCGGGGAGGGGCACGTCTTTGGGGAGTGCTGGCAGCCGTACGATCCTGCTGACCTGGCGAGGGTGCAGTGCCACGTGTGCCTGCAGTGGGGCCACCTGGCGTGCGCTGACCTGGCAGACCCACCGCCCAAGCCGTCGTGCTGCTGCTGTGGCGCCAGGGGTCACCATGGCGAGGTGAGTGGGGGCATGAAGGTGGGGGGGAGGGATTGAAACATGAGGGGCAGCATGGGGAGGGAGGGATTGAGACATGAGGGGCAGCATGGGGAGGGATTGAAACATGAGGGGCAGCATGGGGAGGGTGGTGACATAGAGAATTATGCTTTCAAGGTTTTTGAACCTTCCCTCACACTACCTACACAACCACTCCCCTCACATCCTCTCATATTCTCTCATATCCTCTCAAATTCTCTCATATCCTCTCATATCCTCTCATATCCTCTCATATCCTCTCATGTCCTCTCAAATTCTCTCATATCCTCTCAAATCCTCTCATGTCCTCTCATCTTCTGTCATCTCTTCGCAACACCACACGCGTCCACCTCAAGGTTCCCTTGTCGTTTCCCTCTTGCCTTTCGCCCCTCAATCCTCACCTCCCCTCCTCTCTTTGGTGCACACACCACTCCCACCTTCCCCTCTCCCTCCCTCACTCTCCCCCACCCCCCTCTCCCCCTTGCCCTACCCCTATCAGGAGTGCCCATCTGCTCGCCGCTTTCATTCCTTCAACCTCGCTACAGACAGCCCCGCCAGCAGATACAAGGCAGCGCCTGCCAGTTCGCCTGCTGGTCAGCTGAGGGCAGTGGGTGCAGGCAGGGGGGCGGAGGGGCGGCGATGCTTCCGGTGTGGCGAGGCGGGGCACTTGATCAAGGACTGCCCCAAGACGTTTCGCAGGGGACGGGGGACGGAGGAGGATGAGGGGGAGGAGGGAAGTGGAGATGGCGTGAATAGGTGGAGGGGAGGGAAGGATAGGGGTGGGAAGGGAGGCAAGAAGCAGTTTGCTATGGCTCAGCTGAGCAGTGATGATGATGATGATTTTGAGGAGGTGGAGGAGGATGGTGGTGATGGGGATGGGGATGACACGAGGTTCGTCGAGGCGTATGATCGATTGGGGTATGATGACAGTGATGATAGCGAGGAGGATCGTATCGGGGATGGCATCATGATTGCTGCCCGCTTTGACACTGGGAGGGGCGACAAACGGCAGCAGGGGCAGAGAGGGCAGTGGGGGCAGCAGGGGCAGCAGGGAAAGAGAGCGCAGCACAAGCGGTTCTGGGACAGTGATGATGGTAGCCATGGCAATGGCAATCCCGGTGGCCGTGAGTATGAAGGAGATGGGCAGGGTGGGAAGAGAAGGAAGCGGCAGCAATTCGAAGGGGGTAGGTCCGCTTGGGATGAGGATGAGGATGAAGATGAGGAGGAGCTTTGGGAAGGAGGCGGTGGAAGGAGGGGGGGCAGAGCGAGCAACGCCGGGGAGGATGGAAAAGGTTGGGGGGGTGAGAGGAGGGATGGCACGGGGTGGAGTGGAGCGAAGGGGGGGAGGTGGTGGAAGGGTGGTGGTGAGGCGAGGGCTGCATGGGGGATGGGGACAGGGGGCAAGCAGGGAGGCGCAAAGTTGAAGGGCGGAGGGAGCAAGAAGGAGAAGGGGGCAGGGAAGGGAGGGTGGTGGGCGGGCAGAAAGCACTTAAGCGGGCAGAAGAGGAAACGCAACGAGGGGAAGGAGGATGGCAAGCCGAGGTGGTCTTGATGATGACTCCCAAGGGTTACAGAGTAAAGCACCATGCTGTGGCTGCTGGGGCTGCTAAGCTGAGGCTTTAATGCATGGAGGGGAGAGGCAGCAATAGCAATGCCCGTTCACACGGGGCTGTGTGCAACTGGCTGGGCTGAGAGGAGCCCAGCGGGTCTTGAGGAGAAACCTGGACATCAAGATGCTGCAGTGGATAATCGATTGAGAGAGAAAGCTGTTGAGGCCCTTGGAAGGTGTAGTGTCGTGGTGTTTCGGTGGAAGTCGCAGATGCATGTACCGGTACTAGGGGGTGTCTCAATGTGCACTTTCAGTTGATGTACTCAACAGGCGACAAGGGGGAAGTATGTTTGCTTACAATTTGAACTTCAATACGGTAATATGTCATATACTCATGTCTTGAACCACAAGGTAATCAAGGCTTCTGGGAGACTTAGGTATCTTATCGAGAGCTACAAAACTGGGTGCTCTTGCCAAGAAGAAAGCTGGTGCTGTTGACAAAGCGCAAGGCAGCATCCTGAGATCATTTTATTCGCCTAGCTTTGTTATGGCAGACAGATGGTGGAGCCGGCTTTGAGCGGATCCGTGCATTTATAGCCGTTGTACTTCGCGAAAAGATTGGGCTGCCTTCTGTAGTACTTGTTGATTATGGCCGCACACTTGTCGGTTGGTAGCACCTTCCTCAACTTTCCGTGGCAACGGCCCAACGCCAAACTGGGGAGAACTGAATGGGGAAATGGAGGGAGATTTTAATTAGCAGAACAGGGCTCGCAGCAACCAAGGCAACAATGGCCGTCGTGAATGGTGACTCTACAAGAAGTGAACTATGACGGGGAGAGTTGGAAGCTAGCGAGCCTGTTTATCTTGTCTAAGAATCAGCAAGCGAACTCACCAGAAGAGAAAAGGAATGCGGCAAGAATTGCCAGGATAAGGAGCTTGATGGAAGTCTTCATCATTCTATCTGACGCGACGGTATATAGCGAGGTAGTCTAAGCACAATGCATTGACTATGGCTGAGCTGAGAGTAGACGATGCAGCAAGTAATAAGTCAGGCAGGTCGATGACTTGCGACTGATACAGTCGGTGCTCATTTCAAGAACACCAGGTAGGCGGGCGGCATGTGAGTGAAACGAGTTTTGGGCATTTCGCCACATTCGCCCTTGTCGCCACGGGCAAAAATGTGATTGTAAAACGAAATTGGAATGTGAAACGAGTCTAGGGGTTTAAGTTCGTAACCAGGTAAACAATTCTGATGACAGGCAGCCGTTGTTGTTTATGAACTGTAGATGTTTTTCTTCCTCGACTTGGTGACTGTACCCCGAAATCAGCACAATCACCACTCACAGGCAAAACGTTCGCGAGTGACTGATTTTCCAATTGTGCTGAGCAAATTTTTGTGATAGGCTGAGCATCGACTGTACAGGTACCACCGAAAAGCTATGGCGCATGATCTGACGGCTGGGAACCCAACTCCTCTCCACCATGTTCTCGAGCGCCAGTATTCCGCAAAACGGGAATGTACATGTGCGAAACCGCATGGGCGAAGTGATACAACGAGCTGACAGGTTCACGAATTGGTGATACCTGCGAAACCGCGTGCACAGCAGAAAATGTACATGGAACGTGGGAGGTGGAGTGAATCAGGTTACTGACCAGCAAGAGAATGTCGTTTAAAGCCCGCAGCCCAAGCTGTTCATGTTTCGGTCTGCATGCTTCGAGAAACAGAAAACCCCAATATATACTGACTCGATTGCAATGCCCAAGCTTTTTCTCGGTAGACTGGGGTTTATTATTAACTTTCATCTTTTGCTGACTAGATTGCACTGCCCAAGCTGTTCATGTTTTTGCACTGCAAAAAGATTCCAACCGGTTTACAGCGATTTTCTTGGTCAATCGTTTTAGACCGTGACGAAACGAGAGTAACCGCTCATGATGAGCTGCACCTTTGTGTGGAATAAACGCGCTGGCCACGCCTAAAGTTCTTCATAATAATCTGGTGCTCCCTTCCACCGCCATCGCTACCTACCATCATGGACCGTGCTCTCTTCACATTGCTTTGTAAGCACTACTTTTCCACTCCCTGAATGTTTTTCTGATGATGTGGCAGAATTCCACTTGCGCTTCAACCCATTTCAACCCAGCTATTTTTGGAGCATCAGATGCCAGTACGTAGATTGCCCGTTGTTTTAGCTTCGTGGTTCGTGAGAAACTTTCATTCTGTCAATGGCGGCCGTTGTGCCCGACAGGTGCGGTGCTCTTCACTGTAGCGTCTGCTAAGTTCCTCGGTGTCAGAAACTAAATGTGTGTTCATTGATGTGGGTTGGGGTACACATAGCAAACCCTAATCTTTGTACCCCCTAAAAAAAGCCTCACTACAGGCTACAGCAATTGATACACCCCCATAGCCTAAGTGAGGGGTGTCTAGCAAAAACAAAAGAGTATGGTCACAAGATCTGTCACAAACAAACAAAGCTCAAGGTGGATCACAACGTCACCACACATTCTGAGCGCAAGCAAAGGGCCACAAGGCTGGTTCAAGAGCTTACATGTATAGTACAGGACAAGAAGCAACGACTATGCAAGACGAAAACCATAGTCAACGAGACCTAACTGCACACAACACCTCTGGTGGTCACAAGGCGGAAGCGCCTTGGTGAAGATGTCGGCAGTGTTGGCCTCGGACTCCACAAAGTCCAAGCGAGCCTGCCCACGCCTCTACAACTCTCGTAGAAGAAACTACCTGACGTTGATGTGATTCACTCTGCTCTCCAGCCGAGGCTCCTGACAGAGAAGAGTCGCCGCCTTGTTGTCAGTGAAAAAGATCAGTTCACAGCTCGGCCGCTCACCAAGGTCTGTGAGCAAGAAGGTCAACCAACGCAGCTCCTGTGCAGCCATGGCTCCAGCGTAGATCTCAGCCTCAGCGGTAGAGGTCGAGACCGAGGAGGAGCGCGTGGACCTCCACGAAACAGCTCCAGAGCCCAGGCCGAAACAGTAACCCTGAGTAGACCCGTGGGTCTTGGCGTCGTCAGCGTAAGAAGAGTCACAGTGACCAGTAAGGACGACCAGCTATGTCGCTCCAGGTACCATCCATGCCTGATGTCGTCGCTAGGTACTTCGCCACCCCCACAGCAGCGGCCCAGTGAACAGGACGGTGTCTCCCTGGCGCAACAAAGCGAGCAAGGATGCTGAGAGGGTAGGCGAGGTCCGGGCGAGTACAAGTCATCAGGTACATGAGGTAGCCCACAAGCTCTGCGTAGGGACCACTAGGCTCAAACGGCTCGTCAGGAAAGGGACCAGTGAGTCTGTGGTCAACAGCAAGAGGTGTGCGCTATACTGTGGAGTGCTGAAGCTCGAACCGCTGAAGGACCTGCTGCACCATGTGTGACTGTGAGAGTGTAATGGTGCGAGTGGCTCTGTCCTTGGTGATCTGCAGGCCAAGGTAGTGGCGCAGTTCACCAAGGTCAGTGCACGTGTGTCTCTTCTGCAGTTCGCGCTTCACGTCAGCCAAAGCAACCCTGTCAGCAGTGGCGAAACCCAGATCGTCGACGTAGACCAATACAAAGCATAGTGTGGAGCCACGACGACCAAACAACGACGGGTCACCAGAAGACAGCTTGAAATTGAGGTCAGACAGGGTAGAACGAAGGGTGTCGTGCCACTTGTCAACGGGAGTTGTGTTTGGCCCCGTCCTCGCTTGGGCGGAGCCGACCTAGTGGTCGTGCGGGGGGCATGCAGCCGACTTGCAGCAATGGGAGCGGGGACCACTGCAAGGGCGTGGAGCTGGTGGGCGTCTGGTTGAAGGGCGCCGAGCAGGTGGACGCCGACCAGGGCGTCTGCTCGGCGTTCTGGGGGCCCGGACGCCGACCAGAGCGTCTGCACGACGTCCTGGGCGCCTGCTCTGTGTCCTGGAAGGCTGGACGCTGAGCTGGGAGTCTGCCTGGCGCCTGGACGCTGACTTGGGTGACATCTTGGCGTCTGGGGAGGCTGGACACCGACCTGGGCGCTTGCTCGACGTCTTGGGCGTCTGGACGCCGACTTGGGCGCCTGGACGGCGTCCTGGGCGAGTGGACGCCGTCCTGGACGCTAGGACGCCGACCTGGGGATGCCGGGCTTGGCGTAGCCGGCGTCCGACTGGGCTGGACGACCAGGCGGGGTTGCCCGGTCGACCGGGATACCCGGGCGACGTGTGCGAAGGTCGCCGGGGGACGTTTCGGCGAGGAAGACCTCGGGGATGGTATCCCGAGGTCGACGTGGCTGATGGGCGCCGTCACGGGCGGGAATGTCTGCGCTGGGCACGTGACGGGGAGTTGGACGCCAACCAGCTGCGCACACCTGCGAAGCAGGTGCACCGTTGTCCTGCGGGTGCAACGCTGTGCAGCCGACTTGCTGCAGCGTTGGCACACCGTGGACATGCAACGTTGGCGCGCCGCATCTCTGCAGCGCTGGAGCGGTGCGAGCATTGCTGCGCTGGAACGCGGTCGACCGTGCTGCGCTGGAGGTCCAGCAACCTAGCTAGCTCTGATGTAGTCAGTGTTGCCAACGTTGTTGCTATCATTCTGAACCTTTGTTGTGATTCTTTCCTAGTGGAACTCTTGCCAATTCTCCCCGTGAACTAGCAAGCAGTGTGCGCACAAGGAAACGACTAAGTGAACGAACGCAGAGATCCCTCTCACACATGTGCCTTCTCCACAGTCAGGCTCCCGTTGCTAGAGTTATCTCCGCATGGTGCGGTGAGCGTGGACGACACCGCGACGTCACCTTCGATTTAGCCGACTTAGCACTTACCTAGCATGTTCGTAGACCAGTAGCCGTGTGGTTGTCACTATGGTAGGCGCCGTAGGTGACGCCGGGGTGGTGGACACCCTGGAGGCACGGCTGGAGAGCGCGAGGAGACGCCATGAGGCGAAGGAGTTCGGCGACCTACCCTGGGCGGTCGTCGACGCTGGCATTCGCTCCGTGTAGGCAACGAAGCACCCTCCTTCTCGGCCTGCATCTCCTCGACCGGTGAACACCGAGGGCGGCGTCGACATGGGCGTCAACGCCGGTGGTGACCAAGTCGGCAGCAGTGCGGGAG